TCTTCCCATGGCGAAAAAAACTACTAAAAGAGCGGCCCCGTTCTCTCCGTCGTCGTCGTTGTGATCGGCCGGGGCTCCATCACAGCCGTTGCTGAGAAATATTATATTATATGAGTGTAATAGATATGATCTGGATGTATTTCAATCCTATTTATCTTTTTCACATAGAGATCATAATTAATCTCATCATACGGCCTAGCAACGCTGAAACACGGTATCCCGTGAGATCTGTCGAGTTAAGCAAAGTTGAGCTCGGTTAGTAGTTGGTACGGAGAAGGGCTAGCGAATCCTGAGCTTCCGTAGGCTCCCGCTCCCAGATGGTCGCCTGATCTCCATGACCGGATTTCCTGTCCCTTCCCTCCAGCAACAAAGAAGGTGTCCATGATAATATGCGTGTGAATAAAAAATACCGGTAACCCCGGCATACATTTAATTCCTTCTCAACTCACCTTCCCACTCCCCAAACATTCTGATGAATGTACCAATTGCCCGAATCACGAGCCGCTTGATCGTTACTGTTGGCGTAACACCAGAAATACGTTGTTTCCCAATTATTCTGACCGAATCCCCATGAAAGTGACTGAAAAAAATCGCGACATGGTTTTTATCTTTTCAAAATTTTATTTCAAAAGATAATATAAGCATAAAGCTCTCTTTTCTTATTTATACACTTTTTTAATAATTTTTTGGCATCAAACTTCGAATGTTTCAAAGAAATTTCCAAATTCTTCTAAAATGGACCCCTCTCCCGCTGTTATTCTTGAATGGAGATGGTTCGTTGAACATCGTTGAACAAGACTAAAAATGAACGATTTTTACCACAACCACTTGGCTCAATACGTGAACTTATCCGCTTAAAGGGGCGGGGTATTAATCACGGCCCGGTGCCCATAAAAAAAAATTTTAAGACAGCCTGTTATATTGTTTTTTTATATTTTAATATTGCTAATTACCGGAGATCAAGAGCTTAAGGGTGCCTTTCATTTCCATAAACGAAATTTTTAAATCTTTTGCTTAAATAACAAAACTAAACAGTTAAACCATAAAATCATAAAAGTGTGGAAAAAAGTGCTTTTTGTATTAATCTTCATACAAAAAAAAACCAATGTAAAAGTGGTAAAAAGAAAAATTATAAAAAACCCACGCGATCTTGAGGTGGTGGCGTCGAAGGCATCGCGAGGAGAATGTGAATATTATAAAAAAAGCAAAATCTCTTGGGCTAGAGTGATTTAATGGGTTTACAAATTTCTAGAGACATTGCAAGGCTTGGAGAACAGGAAGATTGTCATCACCTGGACGCGATTACCCTCCCTTTTGAAGACAAATTGTCTATGATGAAGCATACGATTTTTTTAAAAACTTAATAGATTTATTGGAGTTTATTGGTTTCTCTATGCTAAATTTATGTATTTGTATGTGTATGCATTTTGAATTTGAATATTTGTGTATGCATTTTAATGAATTTTAGGTATTTGAAATGTACTTTGTATTAAACTTTGAAATGAGATTCATTGAAAATAAAAAAGGCAAAATTTCGAGTAGGATAAAACTTTTAAATTTAAATTTGCCTCATTTGAACAAGTTTAAAGAAAACGAGTTTAAATTCATCATATCATACCGTTTTTTTTAAAACTTTTTATAATAGTTTATGATAGTTTTAATAAACTTTTCTTCAACTCAAACCAAATTCTCTTTGGCAACAATTTTGATCTCCTTTTTTCCCGAGGTTGCTCGTTGTCGTAGCCATTGGTTAACTTTTTTATTGAAGAATTTCGTCAGAAAAAGATTTATTGGCACATTTGTATGTGTTTTGTTCATGGTTCGGGTCCCCAATCCGCGTATTTCGGCTTATTGGCTTACCATAAAATTACATATCTAGTCTGTTCTTGAAAGGTACGATTGACTACCACTACTACTGCTCTATCAAATAACTACAGTTACATACAACAGTAGAAGTGTTACTATTTTGTTATTTTTATTAGTGATTTACATGTCTACTGTATATCTTCTCCCTCTTCCCATCCCACTCACCGCTCCGGGCTCCAATGTCCACCAATCATCATCATCAGATCCTTCCCCAACAATCGCATCATCGGCTGATGCACATTTGAGATAAATCGAAGCTGATGAGAGTTTATTCGTGACAACCACCGAATAGTCTTGATTGATTTGATCGATGATATCTTGGACTGCTTGTCCGAAATCCAATCGACCACCCCCACATTCGATTAATCCGATTGATAGGGAAAAAAGGGTAAAAAGAGGAAGAAATGACATTTTTGAAGAAGAAATCGTTATTCAATCTGAGATTAGATGAAGAATGAGTTGATTGATGGGAATATTCGATGGGTTTATATAATGGATTTGAGACAAAATATTTTTGTTTTTTCGTCTATGGAGATAGCTGTCATTGTTGAGACCATAATCAAAATAAAATCTAAAACTCCATTCATCGTTTGTACATTCACATGATTTATTGAGTTTTTTCGTACTCTTGCACTTTTTTGAATAAGCATATACTGGAAAATCTTATTAAAAAACCAACAACAAAACAAGTGGAATGAAAAATGATTCCCTACTAGACTGAAGCGTCAAATGTTCTATCACATACAGTGTGACCAGAAAAGAGGCCGAGTTTTTTCAGCAACGTAATATGTAAGCACAAGCTAGTTTTAAACACTCGCTTCGGGAAGTTCTGGACAATGGTCGCGCACTCTTGCGTAGTAGTATCGTGGTAACTGTGGGAGGTCGTCCTCTTTCTTTGCGGTCCAAAAAAGATCCCGTATCTTTGTGCCGTTTAATAGCCTCATAAATAATATCTTTCTTGCTTCCGGTGCTTTCAATGATTTGTGGCGGCTTCCTCCCGGTCTTGTAAAGCTCGATGATGCTCAATGCTCAAGCTCAATGCGTGCCTTTTCGCGTTTTTCTTTTGTATTCATACCGCGTTAACCCTGAAAATAAAACTTTTAGTTTATTAAAAAAAGCATTAAATTAAACGTAAATTGAGAGAGTGGTCACTTAACTTTTCCTTTGAGTCTAACTGAACTTTTTGTCGGTGATTGATTTCTCCGCTCTTCCTTTTGATTTGGTGGATGGGGAAAACAGCTGCTCAACGACCGCCATAAGTGTAAATAGAAGCTATTTTTCTTTCAAAAAGTATTCAAATTGCCCAATATCATTCGTGCAAATAGCTTTTATTACCATTAAGAGTCTAAAAAACGAAGAGCTGTTGTTATCCAAAGATATTCTCTAACCCGGATCTAGAAAAAAAGACTCGGAACAAAATTTGCTGTCGCATTTTTTTTTGATTTAATTTGTAGAGCGTTTTTACCACAAATCATTAAATTTCGAAAATCAGGAAGTTGCCCATTGCTCTCTCCAACGACTCGGAATCAAAAATTTCAAAGTAAACATCACTCATTGTTTATATGGGAAAAAGATTTAAACTTCAGAGAAAACGTTTAAAGTTTCATTTTGTGAAAATTCGAACGAATCTCTGATATCATATACATTTTCATATGAAATAATGAGATTACTCTTTATTCTTCTCAATTTCTCAATGCTTATTTTATGCTATGGACCGGTGGTAGAATTGAAAACAGAATCGGGGAAAGTTCTTGGTGAAATTCTTGAGGTGAACATACTGGTCCAAGAACTGAAAAAAAAAATAAGCAATTCAAGCATAAAATATTCGAATTCTTTGAACACATGATTTCTTTTTCGATCAACAAAATTAGTTATTCGAAAAAAAGGGGCCGTACAGAGAAAAGATAACATAGAAGAGAATATACTTTAAATTCTAGACTGATGAGCTTTGGTTTACAAGGTGTTTTTACAAGAAGAACCCAGATTCAATTTGAAATTTCTCGAAACTTGAAGTGGCTCTGGTGGTGATCGTGGTGTAAAATAAGCAAATTTGGGAGCGCAAATTTTTTTCTCTTTTACCATTTTTGAAATTGGGTCATGAGATGATGGTGGTGGGTCAGAAAGTTTCATTATATAGGTTATAATTTTAAAAAAAAAATGGTGAAAATATGGACTGATCTCAAATTGGTCTATTTGGCACCATAATGACCACCGAGAGCCAATCAAAATTTCGAGCAATTTCTGGAGAAGTTTTTTAAGAAATCCTATACTGTTTGGGGAAACTATATCTTTATATTTACGATTTATTTTCAATATTGTAGAACTCAAACTCGTGGGGTGAGGTCTACGAGTCGATTCCATATGCAGAATCACCGGAGGGAGCATTGCGGTTTGAGGTTTGTTTATATGGAAGAGAGGAGATCGATTGAACAAGTTCGAGGAGAACAAGTGAAAACAATTAAACACATTTTGTAGAGTTTGAAAAGAGCTGCAGGATTCATTATATGATATTTGTGTGGGAAAATTTTCAAGTCTAATGAATGAAAATCGCGGGAAGATTCCCCATGAGCAATCAAATATTTTTAGCTCCCAAAGCCGCGCACCAAATGGAGTGATGTGTTGGATGTGCGCAACCGAACTGCTTGCTATGCTTATTATGTAAGTTTTTGGGTAGAAGCATTGGGAGTGTAGTGACTTTACCACATTCGATAATATATACCAACTGGGGTGGTAGATTTCTTGCATACACGAAATACACCAATCACAATTCACAACACACACAATACTAGGCTATATCTTAACTTAACCCACGCTTTCCTTGATGGACGGCTCTCTAACCCTACTCTTAATGGACGGTCCCTACATAGCTTGTTCTGGCGATGAAGAGAAGGTTACCCGTTTTACAGAGCTAGTGCCTTTACTAGTCCCTCTAATAGACATGGTTTTAGGATCAGATTGGATCGGATCAGATCCGAACTTCCACTTTTTCGGATCGGATCCGAACAAGTGGAATTTCGGATGATGATCTGATCTGATCTGATCTGAGAACACGACCTTTGGATCAAATCCAATCCGATCCAAGACACTATTTCTTTGTTGTTTCAATAAATTGTTTCTACAAAACAAGGTCTTTAATAATCTTGCCATCGCTCTCTGCAACACAAAATTTAATTGGATCTGATCCGACTAAAACCTGATCCGAAACCATGTCTACCATCTAACCAAAGGCAGACGGGGGCGGAACCTACAGCACTCGGATCAGGAAAGAGTGCCCCTGGTTCATCTCATGGACTCGAACCAGAGACTAACCGAGCCTGAAGTTGCTTAACTTGGCAGATCTGACGCGATACCGTGTTTCAACGTGGAGAGGCCGTAGCTAAACATGATTTCTTAAAAAAAATAGACAAAAACCAAATGGGTCACGTTTTAAAACGTACTTTTGTAAACAAATTGACATTCTACCATAAAAGATAGCCGAGTAGAAAGTCGAGAAATCTCTTTTTAGTGGGATAATCCGATTCGTTCATCTGATGATTGCCTTCGCATCAAATTGGTCATTCCATTGGATGAACACAAAAAAGTGCCTTTAAACTCTCGATGCGCATTTTATAAGAAATTTCAAATTTCAGCGATATTCACAAAGACTGCCGCTCATTTTTTGGATTCATGGAGGATCGTATCAGGTAGAACTTTTTAACTAACGTTCTTTTTTTTGAAACAATAACTTCTATCTTTTCAGATTGGAGGAAAATACTATTATAAGAACTCGGGTGTGTTGAGGAATATCGCTTCAAAGAAAATCATCTTTGTGGCCATCGATTATCGATTGGGATTTGATGGTGAGCTTTGGGGGAAATATGATAAATACAGTCGACTCTCGTTTTAACGATTAACGATAATGATTCTAAAAAGTGACCCAGATTTCTTTCGTAGCTGTCCTGGCAATTGCGTTTGGCTGGGTAGCTACGCAGAAACCAAGGGCGTGTTTTAGAATTTCAAAATCGTTGTATCGAGAGTCGTTAAATCAAAAGTTGATTGTAGAAGTGAATAAGTGTGCTAACGTACTTCTTACGCACTACGCACTGACGTACTTCTTTGCTACGCACTAAAATTAGATTACAATCTTTTTTCCCTAGTCAACATTTGCATTCTATACAACACTATGAAGATAAAACTTTATCATCTGAAAAAAGAATTGAATGAATCTGTGATATGCTACCGTAAATACTGTACTATTGGGTTGCCCAGTTATGAATGCGCATTTTTTACTATTTTGTAAATTTCTCAAGATACCGAAATCAAGAAAAAGATATATACAGGGTGCGTCATAATTATTGCAACAAGATACTCAAGGCATTGCACACCAAGAAGTTTCACTGGAAGAAGATTTTTGAACAGAAATAGCTTTATTTAACAGTAACAAATAAGGAAACAAGAGATTATTCGATATGACCGCCTTTTGCCTTGATAACAGCCCTTAATCGGTTTGGATATGCCTCCACTGCGGCCCGAATGTCATCTTGAGGAATCGCCTTCCATCCTTTGGTCAAAGACTTCTTCAAAGAATCCAAACTTGTGTGTTTTCCTCTAAGATTGCCCAAATGGAAAAGTCCATCACATTGAGATCCGGTGAGTTTGGAGGCCATTCATCATTGGTGATCACTGAGGGAAAGTTGGCCACACACCAGTCTTGAACCGTCTTCTTCGTGTGAGCGGGAGCTCCATCTTGCATGAAGGTCCAAATTTGATTGTTATTGGCTTTACACGCCCATGACACGCCCGTTTTCCTCTTTGGAAAACGATCTTTGAACTCTTATGACGCACCCTGTATAAGTATTATTCGAAAGCTGAAGATCTCCTCTACATTTTGATATAAAAAGTTTTTGAATTTGTCCAGCTTTTGGGCAAATTGACTGCACAGACGAAGAGGTGGCCAAAAAATGGAAAGGTGCCTTTGGGTCAAGTTTTGGCTCCGCTCAAATTGAGTTAACCGTTTGATGTTTGGCCAATAGATATATCAATACAACTTTTTTTAAAATATAACAATTTCAGAGCATCTTTACTTTTCTTTTCTTTTCTGGGCGGCTATTTTACACCATAAAACTTGAGGAATAGCTAAGCTGGAATAGCTAAGCTGGAGTGGGTTTTTTCGAAAACGACCTCTCCCTTTGTGCAGTCAATTTCCCAAAAAGTTGAATGAATTCAAAAACTTTTTTCTTCCAAAATGTAGAGGAGATCTTCAGCTTTCAAATGATATAAAACACTCGTATACATCTGTTCGATATCTTGAGAAATTTACAAAATTGTAAAAACGCGCATTCATAACTGGACAACCCAATAGTACCCACCCCCATAATGACGGTGCGGTCACCTCCAATAAATCCAATAAATTCCAGTCACCTCCAATAAATTTGTGTATAACTCTTTTCCAATAAGAACTGCCAGAATTTGGAATCGACTCCCCAGAGAGTCCAATAGTCTCGAAACCTTTCAATTATCTGTGGATGATCTTGATCTTGAAGCTCTAGTAGATCCTTGACGTTATCTGTGCTATCCATATACCTACCGTAAATACTGTAATAGTACCCCACCCCCATAATGACGGTGCGGAGTGTTGCGTAGTCTAGCTTTGAACGAGTTTTTCTCGCCACTAGTTTATGCTACAATGCGCGCTTAGGTATCAAAAAATAGCTGAAATTCAGGGCTATTTTTTGATACCAAAGACACATTTTTTGAAAGTACAGGTGCTTTGCAAAAAATGAAATACTAAAAAAAACTTTTGCGACTACGCGACTGTACGAGAGGGATGGGGTACTATTACAGTATTTACGGTAGGTTGATGCAAAAGAAATTTCGGTCGGTATAAAATGTTCAATTTTTTTTTAATCTAGAAATCTTATTTGATCTTCTTTTGTATATTTGTACTCTTGGATATTTACTTTATTTTTACGCTTTCCCTAAGTCAGAGCTTTCACTTTTTAATTGATATTTGCTTTAGAGCATGATGGATCAAAAGTACGTTCTGCGCGCGTGGCTTCTCTACGATTTCAAGATGGTCAAAAGCGCCGCCAAACCACATCGTGACCTCTGTTCCGCTTTTGCAAAACAAGTTATGACCGAAAGATCCTGCCAGTTCTGGTTTACCCGATTCCGAGAAGGTATTGAATCTCTTGAAGACGAATCACATGAACATCGCTCCGCAGCCATCGATAATAATAAATTGGAGCAACTTATTGAAGCCGATCCAATGCAAACAACACGAGCGCCTGCCAAACATCTCCAATGTCGCTTACGTCTCAAAAAAGTTGACCAAATTTTGCATCAAAAGAGTTTAAATCCCTCGACTATCAATTTTCTTCGTGACATCGAGCCAGCTCACGCAGCGAAAGCTTCTTGTATGGAGTTAGAGGAATTAGGATGGAGGGAAGGCATGTCCAGACTTATCACCATCTGATTTTCACCTCTTCAGATCGATGCAACATTTCCTTGCGAGTTGCCAGTTTAAGAATCCGCAAGAGATCGAGATTTGGGTGACCAATGATTCAATCACAAAATCAAGAGCTCTTCGACAAGGGGATCCGCAATCTGAAGCAACGTTGAAGGGATGTTATGGATAACGATGGTGCTTATTGTTTGGAATAAATTGTTACCTAAAAGAGTTTTGATCAAATTTAATGTTTGTAAAAAACCGAAATTTCTTTTGCATCAACCTAGTATTTGTTGAGAAAAAGCTTTTAGAAAATCATGTCCAAAAATCGTGATTTTTGATACAGATTCTTATATCTACCTTGTTTTTCTATGAAACTTCATTCTCTTTGGAGGGAAAACTAAAGAAATAATGCACTAAAATTTTAAAAGAAATCTGGAAGAAGTTGGTGGTTTAGTTTTTGAGATATGACACTTGGAAAGTATACGCCATTTTTTATGCATCAACCCAATCATAGGCGCTTTTTTCTTCATTTCCCTCTGTTCGAGTCGTTTCTTCCTCTCTATTTTGAAGAAATTGTTATAAATTGTCCGCTTTTCTGTACAATAAACAAAATTTAGGTTTTCTCTCGACGAAAGACGAAGAGTTCCCGGGGAATCTCGGATTGAACGATATTCTGCTTGGACTTAACTTTTTGAGGGTAACTCTAGGAAAAAGTGTCATACTCAAGATAGATACTCAAATTTCAAAAGAGTATTGCCTTTTAGGAAAACCATGAGAATATCGGTTTTGATTTGAATAATATTGTGGTGGCCGGAGAGAGTGCTGGCGCGTCGTTGGCCAGTTTGGTTGCTGTAAGTCCGAGGTTTGATGGTGAGTGCGAGATACGAGAGAAGAAACACTAAAAATCACTAGAAATGGAGATGGGGTAGGTGGTCGGCTTTTACAGTACTTTGTTATGGACTTGGCTACGGATAGCATTTTAGATTGGATTGGTTTTTATCCAATAGGTGAATTCATTGGATCGGATCGGATGATGCCCGGGCCAATTTATATGTCGTAGCCGCTAACGAAATTCGGCCGCTAGCGAATGAGGGTATTTCCGGGCATCCAATCAAAAAGTCACCCACATAAAAAATGTTCATAATACATATATTTTATAATAAATTTTTGAAATTAGCTCATTTGGTTCAGTAGAAAATTTTTTTTGAGCCCCCAAAGTTTATGTTCAAAAATGCCCTAAAATGGCTATAAAAAATTTTCTACTCAGCCAAAAAACTTGCCTAATAGCTCATTTTGTAGCCAATTTGATGTAGATTCTTAAAGTAAAGCTACATTGAACATTTGTTTTTCAAAGCTAGGAGAAAGAGGGCGAGGAACGACTTCAGTTGAACTCGATCGCTGTTTTCACATTTGAGAATTGCCCTGAACTTGTTCTTCGCCCTCTTTCTCCTACTTTCAACGAAAAATTGTTTTAGATGACTTTACTTTAAGAAACTACATCAAATTGGCTACAAAATGAGCTATTAGGCAAGATTTTTGGCTGAGTAGAAAATTTTTTATAGCCATTTTAGGGCATTTTTGAACATAAACTTTGGGGGCTCAAAAAAAAATTTTCTACTGAACCAAATGAGCTAATTTCAAAAATTTATTATAAAATATATGTATTATGAACATTTTTTATGTGGGTGACTTTTTGATTGGATGCCCGGAAATACCCTCATTCGTTAGTGGCTGAATTTCGTAAGCGGCTACGACATATATACTAGTCTTGCGGGCATATGCTAGTTATTCAATTTATATGAAAATTAAGGCACTTATAGGATAATTACTGAAAATTTTACTTGAAATAAGCTTCGATATGCTAATTTTTGAGCCCTTTACATAAATCCTTTTATCGTTAATCCATCAGATCGGACAATTTCTGATAGCCCAGGAGAGGATTTTATACGATCCAATCACCAAGTCTACTGCGTTATATCTTACACATATTTGGACATTACCGCTTTTCATTCAAAATCCCTTCCTCTTTCAGGTCTCGTTCACGGAGTGATGTTGTTTTCTGGAACGTTCACTGGATCGTGGGCTGTCAGAAATAAATACACCGTATGTGAGAGTGTTGAATAACTATCAAGGATCTCCCATCAGTTCGCCTGAAATCGCCAAAATATTATTTCTTACATGTAAATTTTAATGTTCGAGCCAGACCGGGACGCCTCGGCAGCACATGAATGTACAGGATGGCGCACAATTAAGGAAACTCGATTCTTTGGTTGGCACCTCTGAACTTCGAGGAATTATAAAGAATGTACCATTGTATTTCTGAACTAAAAATTGAAATTGATCACAGTAATTAATATATAAATATAAAATGAAGAAAATTGAATAATTGTGCGTTGAGTTACAGTCGAAAAGCCGAGTTTCCATAATTGTGCGCCAGCCTGTATAATACAAATTCATGAAATTAGCATTTAAGAATTTTGGGTGGAATGATTTTAGCCAAAATGGACGGTTCTTATTATCTACTATATATAAAAGAGAAATATCCGTCCGTCACAGGCACCTAACTCGGCGTCCAGAGTGAAATTCGGGACGCACTTTTTTTTGTTCGATAGGAAATTTTATGCTGATTCCGCCCCCACAAAAATCAAGAAAATCCATCACACAAATTTTTAAAAAAAGTTGAAATACTGCGAAGCCATGGCCCTTTTGCTGGAAATCATGCGGACGCCAAGCGGAGCTGGTTAAGCATAATAACTGAATAAAGATTTTACAAGCTATAGTCGAACCCTCATTTAACATTAACTTTCGGTCCTCAGAGAACTTTTTAACGTTAAAATGAACCTCGATTTAAGCTTAGAAATTTTCGAGCCCTTGAGCGATGTTAAATTACAATTTTGGTGTAATTTTTTACAACCTTAGGTGGCAAACACTAGAGATTTATTCGAGAACTCAAAGTGTGCGAACGGAACGTCGATTGTCATCAAAAAGTGCATGCAAAAAGTGAGCCAAAAATTCGCGTAAATTCGAATTCAGTCGTGATTTCTTGTATAGCTCTCATTTTTGTCTCTTTTATGCTCTATATGGCATTACTCCAATTTTAGGCGAAGAAATCCCTCTACCAAGACGCCGTCACTCCGCGCATCTTCAAGACGAATCTCCACAAAAACCACAGTGTAAATGGCTGGGCCTAATTTTTTTCTTTCGACATTTGAACATTTTCAGTTAAATTATGAGAATATTCGAATGGGAATGACCTTTTTCACGCCAATTGTCGATGATTTTCGAGGAAATGACTCCTTTCTGCCGAAACAGCCCGAAGTGCTTGTCAGGTTTGCTTGTCAGAAAGCAAAAATTTGAGTTGTTTTCTGTAGATAATTTAAACGATGGTTTAATGTCTACCAAATAGATTAAAAAAAAAATCCTAAAATGAGTTTGTGTGAGTGAAGATTGGGAAAAGTTTACTTGTTGTTAGTGTCCAATGATTTGGGACGATATAAGAAAACAATGAATCGCCTATTTTTCATCGAATCCAGGATCTAGTTCCAACGATCTCGATCTCACCGACCTCATCTCAGAGATTTTCATTGTGTTTTCAGATTAGATGCTTATCCCATCTCAGCTTTAATCTCAATTTTCCATTGAAAACGCAAAAATTTCGGAGTAGCCTATATCCTGTCTCACAAATATAAAGGAAATTTGAGATTAGATTGAGGCGAGATCGAATACACCAATCTCATCTCACAATATAAATGAGACGACCGCCATTCTCAAGATTGAGAAGCTCAACTTTGAGATGAGATCGGTGAGATTGAAATTGGTGGAACCGACAAAAACTTAGAGCAATCTAATAAGAGCATATCTAACCTCTAGATAATTGGGAACGGTCTGTCTGCCTGTGTGTCTGCCTGTGTGTCTGTCTGTGTGTCTGTCTGTATGTCTGTCTCTGTGTCTGTCTGTGTGTCTGTCTCTGTGTCTGTCTGTGTGTCTGTCTGTGTGTCTGCCTGTGTGTCTGTCTCTGTGTCTGTCTCTGTGTCTGTCTCTGTGTCTGCCTGTGTGTCTGTCTCTGTGTCTGTCTGTATGTCTGCCTGTGTGTCTGTCTGTGTGTCTGTCTCTGTGTCTGTCTGTGTGTCTGCCTGTGTGTCTGTCTCTGTGTCTGTCTCTGTGTCTGTCTGTGTGTCTGTCTCTGTGTCTGTCTGTGTGTCTGTCTCTGTGTCTGTCTCTGTGTCTGTCTCTGTGTCTGTCTCTGTGTCTGTCTCTGTGTCTGTCTGTGTGTCTGTCTCTGTGCCTGCCTGTGTGTCTGTCTCTGTGTCTGTCTCTGTGTCTGTCTCTGTGTCTGTCTGTGTGTCTGTCTCTGTGTCTGTCTGTGTGCCTGCCTGTGTGTCTGTCTGTGTGTATGTCTCTGTGTCTGTCTGTGTGTCTGTCTCTGTGTCTGTCTGTGTGTCTGTCTCTGTGTCTGTCTGTGTGTCTGTCTCTGTGTCTGTCTGTGTATCTGCCTGTGTGTCTGTCTGTGTGTATGTCTCTGTGTCTGTCTGTGTGTCTGTCTCTGTGTCTGTCTGTGTGTCTGCCTGTGTGTCTGTCTGTGTGTCTGTCACGCTTTTCAATCTCAGTTCCCCTTGATTCTAAAACGGTTTTTTATTCGAAAGAGGAGAAAAAAAATTAGGATATTGACTATTGCATTAATTTTTTAAAATAATGAAGTTTTGATACCCAAAGTTATAACTAAAAAGGGTTTTTTCGCTCTGCAGGCGCGCGGAAAAGAGATATCCAGCTGAAAGTATCACATGTAAGACCCAAAATTCTATGAGGAATCTTTATCTGAAGTCAGATCAAAAAAATATTGAACGAGATATTCATTTTTTTTCTTGCATTTTTTCGGCCAAACGCCCCTTTATGTGGTGCGCGACTTGGTAGAGTGGTTTGCGCGTCTGTCTCCCAATAATCAAATGGGGGTAACTATAAAATACGGCGAATTTTGAGGGAAAGTCAAAAATGGTTTAGATCAAACGCCCATTTGCCGATGCTGATCAGCAACGTAGCGCACGAGAAAACGGAATTCTGTCATCAAATGGGTGATAAACGTTTAATTTGTTCATTTGTTCAATACTTCATTGTAGCCTTTTGAAAATCACTTCTGTGACATTAAATTCATAAGCAAATGTCTCAAGAAAATTGTAAAATGTTTAGCTTTTAAGCCCAAATGACATCTCATCTGCCAGCGCGTTTCTGGGTGAAAGAGATGGTACCCGAACGGTACAATGGATCCACAACGGTCAGAGTGTTATTGACCGAACGGTGAGCGTTTGCAGAACTGTACCGTAGAACTATACTATACAGAATAGAACTGTAAAACTGACTTAACGTAAACATTCTATTAGAATGACAGCTTCCAATAGAATGACAGCTTTCAATAGAATGACAGCTTTCAATAGAGTCACAGCTTCCAATAGAATGACAGCTTTCAATAGAGTCACAGCTTCCAATAGAGTCACAGCTTCCAATAGAATGACAGCTTTCAATAGAGTCACAGCTTCCAATAGAGTCACAGCTTCCAATAGAATGACAGCTTTCAATAGAGTCACAGCTTCCAATAGAGTCACAGCTTCCAATAGAATGACAGCTTTCAATAGAGTCACAGCTTCCAATAGAATGACAGCTTTCAATAGAGTCACAGCTTCCAATAGAGTCACAGCTTCCAATAGAATGACAGCTTTCAATAGAGTCGCAGCTTCCAATAGAGTCACAGCTTCCAATAGAATGACAGCTTTCAATAGAGTCACAGCTTCCAATAGAATGACAGCTTTCAATAGAGTCACAGCTTCCAATAGAATGACAGCTTTCAATAGAGTCACAGCTTCCAATAGAATGACAGCTTTCAATAGAGTCACAGCTTCCAATAGAATGACAGCTTTCAATAGAGTCACAGCTTCCAATAGAGTCACAGCTTCCAATAGAATGACAGCTTTCAATAGAAGGACAGCTTTCAATAGAATGAAACCCCTTTCCAGAGCCCATTCAGCATATATGCAAAATTCCACAATTAGCATATAAAATTTATTAATTTTGCATACATACATTTTATGCAGCTTCTTAATTTGCATATATTTTTGCATTTTTATGATACCGTTTGAGTCATTCCTTATTAGAAAATCGATTTTGTTTCAGCCAGCAATTATGCGCTTTTTTGATCCAGGTTTTTTGTCAGGATACCGGATAAAAAACGGGATATCCGCGTTTCCGAATCCAGATATCGGCCCGATCTTGGTTTGCATAATTTTTGACATTATCTTTAATGTAAAATCTAACTAACTTTGGACGCATTAGAGAAGAGAAAAGAGATTCTATAGTTGTAGTTATCGAAGAGAGAAATGAGACTCAGAGGTAACAAACTTCGCTTACTTACTAATGCTTTCCAATAAAGATATTTTTCAGATTTATGGATGGCGCGTCGAATGTGAGACGTGGGATTCAATATCACAATATGATACAAGGCAGGTCGAAAGAATTGTATAATTCAGAATTTTCTGAGGCTAAGCTGACAAGGGGTCGATCAAAAATGAAGGTAAAGGATTGGAACGGGACCCACTTTATTTTAAACAGATTTTTTGCTGATAAACCCACTAATTTTTGCTAACCGTTAGCAATTTTCGAAAAATTTGCGTTCAAAGTCAAAGTTGAAAGTAAATTTGGGCAAAAGTGCTTTTCAAATCAATGAATTTCAGCGTTGTTTTCTTTTCTTATTTTTGCTAACCATTAGTTCCATATCCCACTAGCGAAATGGGAGAATTCCATCCCGAACCTATGTCCACCTTCGTTTTCTTGGTTGCTCCTTGATCGATTGATCTGAAATTTTGTCTACAAATAGTTAATGCCGAGCTCTACCTGTAGACAAGATTTCAGATCAATCGATCAAAGAACGGGCAAGAAAACGAAGGTGGAATTATTGGGTTGGGGAGAATGAGTCGGCGCCGAAATTTAAAGAAACTTTTTGCACCCATAAAACCTTCTTTAAATACACGTTTTGTTTCATCAAAATGGTCCACTATTTCTTTCCAAAATGGCTTTTGAGAGATTCCACAAAGCTTTTCTTTTTTGGGATTTTATGGATTCCCAAACACAGCTAATCAGAATGACAAAAAGTCCGACTCATTGCTTGAACAGTTTCTTCCACATAAACCTCCTTTGGTGTTTATATAAAAAAGATAGAGCACACTCAATTACATAAGTTACCAAATTTTCAGGAAGATCCCTCCAACCGTTTACTCTAGATGACAGTTTATCGATTTTGTGAAAAAATGATCCTTTGTTGAGTTGAGACGCTGTTTGAGTTCTCTTTTAAATATTATTTTGTAGAGAATTAGTTACCCTTCTACGGATATCAAACGCATATCATTTGACAAAGTCTGCTATAAGTTTTAGAAATTTCTTTGATTTTCGGCGCCGACTCATTCTCCCCAACCCAATAGATTCGGGACGGAATTTGCCCATGTCTAGACCCCACTATTAGGCTGGTGCATAAGTTTTTTCGTCCTTTTTCGTACTTCCGTTAAAAAATAACAAATTCACCAATTAACCTATGGTTTGATCTATAAAAAAAAGTGTTTATTGTTCAATTTCCACTTTCAAGCAAATTCGAGAGGGTAAACACGTGTTTTTCGTAAGAATCTATAAAAACGTCTACGAAGAAATTAGCTGAATAGATTTCTTGGAAAATTTGGCTATATACCAAACTTTTTGTGTTCTATCTTTTATCTATTGACATGAAGAGAGGTTTCCTTTAGCTAAAGTGGCTAAACCGCATCATCGAGTTAGCGTTTTTTGACGCTCCAAAAAAAATCCAGACCTTTTAAAACCCGTTTTAAACCATAAAAACCTTTCAAAACCCGTTTTAAACCATAAAAACCTTTTAAAACCCGTTTTAAACCATAAATTCTTTGAGGAACCGTGGACTCTACTTAAGAGTGACATGAATATTCACGGATTGAACGATCTCTTTTTCATTTCATCTCCAGCACTGAAAGTGATATGAATTGTATCATTTCCTGCCCCGGCATCAACTCCTTATCAACTCTATCAAAAAAAGTGTTTATTGTTCAATTTCGTTTTTGACTACCCGACACGAAGATAGGTTTCCTTTAGCTAAGGTGTCTAAACCGCATCATCGAGTTAGCCCTTTTTGACTAACCGACTTCATGCTCCCAAGAAAATCCAGGCATAAGATATTTTTAAACTCGTTTTAATGTTATTTGGCAGAAAAATAATTGACTTTTCTAATCAAATCAACCGTAGTTCAATTGGTGCATTTGTTGGTTTTAAACGGAAGTACGAAAAGGAACGAAAAGACTTATGCATCAACCTAATATTAATTTTAGTTGGAAAATATTTACCTAAACTAAAATATAAGATCTGGAGCATAATTTTTTAAAATATGAATTAGTGCTATAAAAACAAGGATATTAAGATTGAGATTTCGTTGATTCCAGAAGAGCTCGTCTCCGATTCCCACCATGAGGCTCTCTTCTACGCGGATCGAAATCTCACCGTTTATGCCCTTCTAAACGTTGTTTATGATGTAGAAAAATTGGGTTTGTTTATAGACGATTTACAAATATTATATTAATATGGTATAACAATTTTCAGATGGCCGACACAGAGAATCCTTCTTGTCACGTCACGGACAAGAGCTTGCGATGCTTTTCGATTCGTACGAGATAGCTTATCAAGATCGGAGTTTTTTGTGAGAACTCTTTGAGCTTTTTAGAAATAAGCTAAGAATTTGTATAGTAAGTTATACAGTACCGAGCAAAAGTCTTGCAACATCACTTTTTCAAAAAAATCGATGAAATTTTTTTATAAAAAATGCCGCCCGTTCGTAGGGCTTTTTTGTTTTTAATTAGAATAATATATGTACACTTTATTTACAAAAACAAATTTAAAGTTCAGCGTAAAGCAAAAAAGTAAATGACAAAACTACTAAAAAATACCCTAAAAACTGGGTGCAAAAGTCTTGCAACATTTTACAGAAACATCAAAAATTAATATTCAATCGGTCCACCTTTTGCCAAAATCACTTCATTAAGTCGTTTAGGCATTGAGTCGACTAATTCGTGAAGAATTTCTGGGCGAATTGAGCTCCAAACTTTTCGTATGTAGAACCATAAGTCAACTTTTGTGTGAAAGTCTTTTCCTCGTACTTTGCCTTCACGTAAGCCCATAAATTCTCAATAACGTTTAAATCAGGCGACATAGGGGGCACTTTGACTAACAAAACATTATTAAGGGCAAACCATCCAGGGAGATGAGCTTTTCCTTCATTTGAGAGATTCACGGTGCGACCCATCATGAGCTTGCTCTTGTGGACCGGCGAGTTGTCCTGGTAGAGAAACCATTCAGGAGCCATGTGATCCTGAGCAAATGGAAGTAGACATCCTTCTAGTATTTCCATATACTGGCGAGCATTCATGGTTGACTGGACGAGGACGAGCGGACCTGCCACATTTTTTGTCATCGCCCCTAGAAAAAGACAAATTAATGCATGTATTAGAAATAAGGCTTACCAAAACACATGATTGATCCTCCGCCAGCTCGCATTGTAGGTCGCACATATTTAAGGAGTATTCGCTTTCCAATGGGTCGTCTGATCAAGTGGTTGCCTTTTGGAGAAAAGATATCCACTTTTGTTTCATCGACAAAAATCACGTTGGCCCAATCCTGCTTTGTCCAACTTTGGTACGTCCTGGCGAATAGAAGCCGTTGTTTCCTATGGCCAGCGGTCATCAAAGGCTTTCGTACAGCCCGCCGGCTATACAGTCCTGCTTGAGTCAATCGTCGAGAAACGGTCCATCGAGAGATATCCTTGTTTGCAACATCCTTGATCAGCCGAGCTCCCTCAGTTGATGTCATGTTCGGATCCTTCTTGGAAGCCATCACAAGTATTCGTTAGTAGTTTTGTCATTTACTTTTTTGTTTTACGCTGAACTTCAAATTTGTTTTTGTAAATAAAGTGTACATGTATTATTCTAATTAAAAACAAAAAAGCTTTACGAACGGGTGGCATTTTCTATAAAAAAATTTCATCGATTTTTTTTGAAAAAGTGATGTTGCAAGACTTTTGCTCGGTACTGT